CGCAAGGTTATTCATCAATGGCTGGCCGCATTTCCACATACTTTGACGAGTTTGAAGGATTCGTGGGCTCATAAGAACACAGCTACGTATCGATATCTGCTTCGTATTGTTCCACGGCAACCAAATAGTGAACCCAACAACGACATGATCTTTCTCGCTGTTGGTGAAACTCTCTTCTTTTTGGCCACTGGCGGTTCACTGACATCTGACGAACGAACTGCTTACTTGGATTGTGTGAAAAATCCATTTACATTTCTACCGGACTGGTTCAATTTCTTGGTTGCTGGCAACTACATGGAGAATATCGGTTACGCCAGTTATGGAAAGATACAAGCCGCCTTTGCTCGTCACGTACATGGTTCAGCTCTACAAGCAGCTTTCGAAGCGGCCGGCGATCAAATGACCAAGACCGAAGTGATCCAACTGGTTACAAGCGCCTTTTGTTTAGGTGCAGCACCGGCACCAGCCAAGATCACTGCTGACATCGTCCATCGATTGTGGTCAGACCAAACACATAGTACAACTGCTGGAAGAGGAACAGCTCCGAAAGAGAAAATGGTGGACATATTCTACGAAAATCCACGCAATTTCATCAAGGAAACTGCCCGACTTTATCCTGTCTTGCCAATGGTCAGTGTGCTCTCCAATGAAAAAATTGCGCGCGATGTTAAAACTCACACTGGTGCGGATATACCACCGAACACACGCGTGCACTGTTCACTCTTCGATGCTAATACAGATCCGAACGAATTCGTATCACCCAACGAGTTCAACCCGCGACGATCGAGTGCGGAATTAGGAAAGATCATGTCGTGGAACGGAGCAGAAGGTGACATTGAAGCGGACAAGGAAGAAATGCGACCTCCTCGTTACTGCCCTGGACACAACCTATCTCTAAGTGCCATGGAATTCGTCGCATCTAGATTTGCACCGGCTGTTACGACACGCAGCGCAGAATCGCAATGTCTCATTTCACCTGAGAGCAGCGAATTACTCGTATCCAAGGCTATGCAGAATGCGAAGGTTAAAACAAAGATCGCACCGAATGTTGATGATGAGATTCATCATCCGGATGATGACGAATCCGAAGTGGTCATTATTATGCGTGAGCTCTTTTGCCGAAAGCATCTGGATTTCAAACGAAATAAGTACTATTTCGATAGTCTGGACGGATACACCCGACTCATTATGAGATTATCCAAGTTGGCATTAAGTGGCTGGAACGCGAAGCCACCCCGAGCCATCGATATCCCCGAACCAGCGAACTTACCAGCACAGGAACTGCATATACAACGAATCAATGGCGGTAGATACGTAGCAACATGGGACGAAGATGATAAGTCCACGTGGCACTTTCACACTAAACTTATTAACAAGATTTTGAATGCTTCATTTTGGCCTCTCCAAGATCACGACTTACAATTCAACTCTATCGAAGACATGATCTCTTGGCGGTGTGCACATTTCCC